ATGAAATTCAAAAGAGGTTTACGTTGTTTGATTCTGTCGTTCGTTACGAGATTCTGTGTAATAAAATCGGGTCAAATTCAAACAGTATGGACCTATTTCAGAGAAATCAATCTTTATACAGTTTATATTAGGTAGGACATCGCATGCAGCAGCTGCTGCAGAAATTGAATCATTTTAATCATTCTGATTCTCCTTGAAAATGAGCGTGCGTGTTAGCTGTTCAGCTGAAGATTCTACTGAGCAATGTCATACTTCTATAGAAGCTTACAATGTGTAACACCAGTGATTTGATAGAAGATTCTAGTGCTTAAGAAGTTTAAGAACAATCAAACCTATCCCCAAAACTTGAAACGCAATTCATTTGGCCCTTATTCTTCTTAGACTTCCGCACTTATCCTCTTGTTTGGTTAATAGATAGTAACGTAAACTGTACTATGCCGGCGAATATTGAAACAGCGAAGCGCGTGTCAAAACAACTTAAATCCATATTGCTTTCAATGAAATGTTTGCCGACAAGTTGCGTCATGCCACTCCGCGAGACTCCCAATTGATCTTAATAGGAGAGTTAACAACAATCTGACGCCTGTATGTATCTGTCCATTGGATTTATTTGTAGCAGTATTGTGTAACGCACATTCTTTGGGCGTACTACTGGAATTGGACTGTTAAATGGTTTGGTTAGAGATGGTTAAGGTAGAGAAAGAAATGCGACTGCTAAAAAATTTCGTTTCGTTTTATCAATACTCAATCACTTCGTTTCATTGAACTCTTATCTATCAACAGTCTGGAGGTAAAGGCTTTCAGTTCAGTCGTACAGTTTTAACTGCAAATACAGACGTCTTATCTTATCTTATCTTATCAATACCAATTCCAGACAGACATCTTTTCCCTACACCCAACAATTTACATAAACAAATTGTAGTGTCAAGATTTATTCGTCATACATTAATTTTACAGCTAGACAAACACTTGTACATTCCAAAAAGGACGTTGACAATCGTATCCGCGAGTGCATTGGCAAGAGCGGCGCGTGAATCAACTCCCGCGCATCAATAACGCGATTGTGTGAGGCCAAACGTCACGCATCTCTTTGGTTGTTGTCGGTGGTTTTGTACAGCTTTGGAATTTTAAATGAAGTACCTAAAAGATCATGCACTGTTTGGAACGGCTAGTAAACAACTAGGTAATTTAGACTTTACAGAGAGATATTAACTCGTTTTCGAATGAGAGTTAAAATATTTCAGGGTACCGAACGTTGCTGTTTATTATATTGTAGGTACTATTATTATAACATTTAGGCGTCATTATAACAATAAAAACGGTTATTGTCATTTAGTCACTTATTTTCCTCTTCCGTTTGCCTTCTAACTTGTACCACTTGTACGCCTGATATCAGAATGAAATTTCGATATTTATAGAACTAATTTTTAAAATGTATAATTGACGTTTATCAATTAACAGTATAGAAACTAGGTAGAAAGGTGCTAAAGAAACCTGTAAGATGACCGAACATCTCTGGTATTCATGAAGAAGTTAAAGTTACATACTTACCGTAATAATAACTGTATCTATCTACATTTCTAGAATAAGATATAATAGATCGTAAAAGAACATTGTATCACACCGCCATAATAATGAAGATGGTCAAGGTTGTGGAAAATTTCCACCGCTGCAATTCTTTCATTAACTAAAGATAATAGGTAATCTACTAATCAAACCCATCAAATATAATAGAGGAATATACCCTGGAGATATTCGCTAGTATATGGTCCCAAGACCCCCAACGGAATTATCCCCAAATTACCTTTAATATCTGATGGTTTCGATGCGTGCTTCAAGTTCAAAGAGCATTTTTGTAGGTCAGAAGGCCAAGGTTGCCCGCTTTTGGTCAGACAAGTCTATAGTCCGTGTCAAGTAACTGGCAGTTTTCCCATAAAGCCATGTCTCTGGTCTTATGAGTGGGCCATATTTGATTTCAGATTAACACCGAACTGCATCTCTTTGATTGCTGATTAAAGTGGCGTTGAAGATACTGAGGCATTTCAATTTCTGTTTGAGTTAATTTCACCATAGTTAATTGCAAAATTACCGCAGCCTATCTATAGCTACGTGGACCATCTTTTTCAGTTAGTGAAAGAGTAAAGAAAATGAAAGGAAGCATCAGCATTGCCTTTTATAGAAACACAAGGTGCTGTGGTTAATTGGTGACTCTTTGGGTTAATCAAGCAGAGACCAGTTAAGAAATCTGGGTTATTTATAGCTTTCGCAAATAAAAATATTTTCCTTAAACGGTAAGATGGCTGGTAGTGACGTCTCTCGGATTATTTGCAAAGAATAGACTGTGCAAATATTGTCCGATGAAATCTGTGTGCTTAGCTGTAAAACGTTTTAGAACTTTAATTTTGCATGCTCATAAAATGAACATCTTAATCGTTGTAATGCTTTTTTACTGTTTGTAACCATAATAAACTTGTTGTTGCTTTTCGTCAACTGTAAAGACATTTGTGTCCATATTATTGAGTGTTTCTAAACAATAATAAATAAATATTCTCGGAGATTTTATTTTCTAAATACTACCTAAAGCAAATTCAAACATCCAGACCAAATACAAAAAATCTACGTTTACCCGTTTAGACGCTAATAGAGTCCTGTAGAGACTTATCATAAAAAAGTCGCAAAATTAAAAATATTTTGTGTGCAGTCATGATTAATCACGATCGTTACAGCCATAGCAACAATATGGTATCGTATAAATAAATGTGACCTCCGCGTGACTCGGCGTGCCTTATCTGGGACTTTTGTCCCACTGTGCAGTAATGTTGCAATGTTCGTTACGAAACAACTGACTATCTGCTTTTAGGACCGTACCACAGGCCGTACCCTTAAAAATAATTAATGAACACGATTTTCAATAATTTTTTAATGTAAAAGAGTCGGTACAGTCGACGACACACCAGACTCCATATTTCTATAAAAGATTTCACAGTGTTGTGAGACTATACATTCTACTAAAATACTGCGAGCATCTAGATTTTAAACGTTACAACTCATAAATAATACTTTTCTCTAGGCCTTCAAACTTTAAAATTAAAATAATAATACTTTGCCTAAAGAGTTTTTTTTTATCTTTGTTTATTAATTTACTAATTACAGGTGGAAAAATATAAACGATTTTAAATAGCAGTTTTCACTAACACGTTTAACTTGACAAAGCGGAAGCGTGTAATAGAATGAAAATGATGTTAATTGAACTGACAACCTAAATATTTATCGGTATTAAGTAATTTATTAAACGAAAACAAATTAAAACATAGTTAAATTGGTCATCCTTTCCAAATGAAACGACGCCACTCTGCTCTCAGTAGGTACCTACTTACTTGGACCAGGCCTGTTCATCTCCGCGAGTTTACATCGAAAACAAAACACGTACGATGGCCCACCTACAGGATACTATTCGACAAGGCCTCACATACGAGCGAACATTGACACACGCACGCGTATTCTTGTGTTGATGGAGGAAAATAAAGAAAATGGTGTACTAAATACTGTGCAGTATTTAACTGCCTAAATAATAATAAAAACACAGAATGTACTTTTTTAAGTTGCCTCAAGACACTGAGAGGTAAATAAGTAGTTAATATTATTCATGTTAATTCATGCTAAATCATGCCATTTTCCGCAGTTTGGCACCTCACGTCACATCATTTTACCGAAGTCAGCCCTATAGCTTCGGCGCAGTGCCGATCATTGACGTTTGTCAACAAAATGGTGCTTGACTCTTGAGACAGGCTAAATTACACCATATTGTTAAGGACATTGAGCATAATTTTTTTTAAATACCTTCGCGAAGTAAAACTTCTGTACGTAGTACTTATTATTATTCTGTGCTTGGACTATGTATGTATGAGTATGTATCATACAAATAAAATATTTATTCAGTACTTAGGCCCTTTCCAGGGCGCTTATACACGTCCCAAATATAGCTTGCCCTACGAGTCTTCCAGTGACTTGGCCCACTTTTAGCTTGGTACACGGGCCAAGTCGTTGGAATGAATTTTTAAATATTTTTTCTTTCAACAACTGGTTCACTCTAAGCTAAAAGTGGCCCACTTTTAGCTCGTCACTGAAAGACTCGCCTTACCACCACTTCAGGACAACATGGGCTGGTGCTGAGAAGAAGCATCATAACGCATCTTCAAATCTTAGATTTCATTTTCGTTGCCATTGTTTTAAAAATATAAGTTTCAGTGGCTATTTCAGTATTTATGGTTCGACCTTCGCGCGACAGTTCCATTGCACTTTTTATTTAGCTCCAGAAACATGTCTCTCAACAACAAATTACTACAATTGGCTACTCACTTCTTTTTATTGTCAGAAGAAGTCTCTTCTCCATTTGTGTATCATGATTCATGCTTTGGATCGACCTTCCCACTTCCCAGCGTCGATTCCCTGTATCACAACCTGTATTAATTGCTTACTTTGGGGCTAGATGACGGTGTGTGAAATTTTCCAAAGATATTTATTTATTTATTAATGGTTTAATATGAAAAACAGACTAAACTTGTTTGGCTACTACGTGGCTACTACCCAATGACTCTCTTGATATGGACTCGGTCAGTCCTTTACTTCACTAGTCTACCTTATCTGAGTCTGACCAACATTTGGGTCTTTGAATTCACTCAGCTTTCTCCACAAAAGATGTACATTAGGATAATAAGAGGTTCCATGTCTGTGTTTTTACCAGAGATAGTTAAGCAAGAACCAAGGACGCTGTGAGACGGTTTTAAGATCAGCGCTGTGAAGAAGCCTATGTAATCTCACCTATCGTTTCCACAGCTGCAACTCCTGTGTAGCTAGGATCTACAGCTTGACTGCCAAATAAATACTCAACCATTGAAGATCAAGCGAGGATGCCTAACATTCTCTTTTCAAATATGCAAACTATTACTTGCTACTGACGTGGCGGTTCCAATTTACATTAAATGCTTATTCTGTTCCAGTTCTTCTGGAGGCCTGCCACAACGAGCAGTCATGTCTTCAGGACCGGGCAGGTCTGGAGGCCATCACGCAGCTGCATAGGCAGCTGGATGACGACGCCAACGGGAACGTAGACCTGAGCGAGAGTGATGACGTGAGTACTTGTCTTTATTCATTAGTAAGATAAGACGTATGGCCTTCTTCTTTCGGGTGAGATGTAATGAGGTGACACTCCTGTAGGCCTAAGATGCGCGCCGCGATAAGCGATTATCACGCCATTTTATCGATTTTGCCCATACATTTTGACGTCGATAAAAGTTATCACGGTGCGCATCTTAGGCCTACTGGTGTCAAATTTAATGAACCTTCGAGAGGCGTCCAACATTACATAGATCAAGTATTTGAAAGCCTACCCTCTGAAGCAAAGAATCTTGTTTCTTTCTCGGTAAATCAGGTTAATTCAAGCCTGCATTGTCCTAAACTGGGAAAAAGGTTCTGTCAGGGAATCGAACCCGGAATTTTAAAGTCATGAGACGTCTCACGCAGGTTATGTGACAATGTGAATAAGTAATAATGATTTATTTCTCACACAAAGTACAGAACAAAAAAGTGTTTGCAAGACATAGATTAAAATATAAAAAACAAGTGTATCAAAACAATAATAAAATACTTTATTTACCTACAATACAATGGATTCTATAATATAAAAAATACCCAAAGAAATATTATGTTACATAGTTGCCGGTAAAACTAGCGTAATTTAATGGATTGGCTACACATTAACGTATACGAGGGCTGCACTAAAAGTATCGGGAATGGAATATTTCCACTGTTCCAGTCATATTAAAATCTATTTAATTGCAAACTCCAGGGTTTTAAAAATCGTATACCATTTATTTATTTAAAAAAAGATTCTCGGTCGTATCACAAGGTCTTGTCAAACTCGTTTAGTCGTTGAGAAAATGGAATTGACTCGAGAAAATTCAAGAGCGATGATTTATTATGACTTTTGAAGTGGTTTAACACAAAAACAGTGTGTTGACCGGATGATTTCTGCATTTGGTAATGAAGCCCCATCCAAAACCACAATTTATCGCTGGTTTCCTGAATTTCAACGTGGACGTGTCAAGCTCAGTGATGATCCCCGTCAAGGTCGTCCAAAAACTGCAGTCACCTAAGAAAACGTTGATGCTGTGCGTAAGCTGATTGAAGAAGATCGACATGTGATATACCGCGAAATTCAGGCAACTTTAGACATTGGCATGAGTCAAATACAAATAATCTTGCATGAACAATTAGGTGTAAAAAAGTTGTTTTCCCGATGGATACCGCNTGCTGTATACAACATCGTATCAGGTGACGAATCATGGATATACGCGTACGAACCCGAAACAAAAAACCAGTCACGAGTTTGGGTGTTCGAAAATGAATTAAAGCCAACAAAAATTGTTCGTTCACGGAGTGTTGCAAAAAAAATGGTGGCCACGTTTGTCTCCAAAACCGGCCATGTTGCGACTATTCCTCTTGGGGGACAAAGAACGGTTAATGCAGATTAGTATGCTAGCATTTGTTTGCCACAGGTCGTTTCTGAACTCCGTAAAGAGAACTGCAACCGCCGCATCATCCTCCATCACGACAATGCGAGTTCTCACACCGCGCACTGAACAAAAGAGTTTTTAGAGCAAGAAAACATAGAATTATTAGTCCATCCGCCGTACAGCCCCGACCTAAGCCCTAATGATTTCTATACTTTCCCTAAAATAAAGAATAAATTGCGTGGTCAGAGATTTTTATCACCTGAAGAAGCGGTGGAAGCCTACAAAAAGGCCATTTTGGAGACCCAAACTTCCGAATGCAATGGTTGCTTCAATGATTGGTTTCGTGTATGGAAAAATGTGTCAAATTTCGCGGAGAATACTTTAAAAAGCAATAAATACATTTTTAAATAGTAATGTTGTTTCACTTCCTTGATTCCCGAAATTTTCAGTGCCGCCCTCGTAGAAAGAGAATGCGCCCGTTAAACATTTTCGCTTTCATGTTACAAATTTATTGACTATTAAAATATTTTTATAAGCTCATGCAGTTTATACACAAACATCTCACAACAGTTTTTGTAGTTTTATTCTGTTTTTGTTTTCATTTAGGTAGGTACGTTAGGTTATCTTAATCAGCCTAATACAGTGTGCGGATGACGCCACGTTTATCTAAAAACTGGCTTCTTATGTGGTTGGAATACGTGCTGTTTTAAAATTTATAATTTGCATCCTGAAGTGCGGTTGACTGTATACGATGTTATCGGCGCTGCGCCTGCGCCTAAATTGTAAGAATAAAGAGCGGTCGGTTATTATGATGAATGGCGTTGTTGTTTTCAGAATATAAACGAGACAAGTTTTTATTTTCCAGAGCTGTAAAATGTTTCCATTGAGGCCAATAGAGTCAAGCATTTAATTCAGTTTGTTGTAATATCCTAATATGGATTTAATAGATCCTAGCCCATCAAACCCCAAGCGGTCGCATAAGAACGAGTAACAATTGATATCTATTGTCTCGATTCGCGGGGTCTTGAATGGCTAATAATATATTTCGACTGTAAACTATTCAATGCTAAATTGACTAAATTAGGACTTGGGTATTTTACACCGCTCGGCGCCATCTAGTCTCAAACTTAGAAAAGACTTTTAAGTAATAAGTACCCGCGGAATAATGGGTTCTATAACATAAACATATCCACGGAATTACTCCCACCTCTCTTTCCCACCGCTGCAACTCCTGTGTAGCCAGCAACTACAGCTTGACCTCCAATAAAAATCCAACCAGTGAAGGTCAAGTTTGTCCCAAGGAAAGTTAAATAAGTCCTGGTATTATAGGTTAATTAAATACGTAAGAGTAACACAAACATATTTATATGTTCATTCTTATAAATGTTTGTAACTTATGTGAATCGAAATCTTGCCTACATTCTCAAACCTCAACCTTCAAACCTTCTCAAACTTTATACCTACGGCCCTCATCAATCCCATATTCTGTGTCACTTATTAGTTATTCCCTCTGATTCCAGTTCCTCCGCGAAGAGTTGCAGTACGACAGCGGCTACGAGAAGCGGCAGCGAGCGTTCCACCACAATGACGACATGCACATATCGGTCAAGGAGCTCTGGGAGGCGTGGCTACGCTCCGAGGTAATATTACCTGCTTTTTACTTACAACAGAATCCATTATAGTATATATCCATTATAGTGAGCATAGTTTGCTCCAGCGCCTTTGGGTGACCTTGAGCTTTTTTATGAGGCCTATCCATAGTACGGGACCAGGTCTCCATAGACTCCATACCATATGCCATCTTTGGCAACATTGGTCAAAGAGCGAGCGTTCCACCACAATGACGACATGCACATATCAGTCAACAAGTTGCTCTGGGAGGCGTGGTTACGCTCCGAGGTAATATAACCTGCTTTTGGGTAACCTTGAGTTAAAATCCCCATAGTAAGGAACCCCGTCTCCATACCATACATCATCACTAGCAACAAACATTGTTCAAAGCGTTCCACCACAATGACGACATGCACATATCGGCCAAGGAGCTCTGGGACAAGTGGCTACGCTCCGAGGTAATATAACCTGCTTTTGGGTAACCTTGAGTTAAAAGCCCCGTAGTAAGGGACCCGTCTCCGTGTCTATACCATACGTCATCATTGGCAACATTGGTCAAAGAACCCTCGAGAAGCGGCAGCGAGCGTTCCACCACAATGACGACATGCACATATCGGTCAAGGAGCTCTGGGAGGCGTGGTTACGCTCCGAGGTGATATAACCTGCTTTTTACTTACACAAATTATGCAGTAATTCTTAAAAGACTCACAGACACGCCCCATAATAATAATTTCGTTCGTTCATTTCAAGCTAGTGCCGTCTACTTCTAGATAGAGGCCTACCTCAAGGATTTCCACAACGACCGTTCCTTTTCTGCCGGCATCCAGAATCCAGGTGCTTCCCGTGACCTGACCATAATATCGTTCGTCTGCCCAGTGGGTGGGTAGTAGTATAACAGTAGGATAGGTCTACAACGTAGATATTACCTATGGAATAATTTGTTACGGAAGTGTGAAAGACAAGTAAATTTAACCTCCATTGAATTGGCAGTAGTGAGAATACTAAAAACATTGAGTTATTTATCTGATATCAGGTGTTGGGCGTTGTATCACAGAATAATAATATACTGTTGTACTTAATCATTTAAACTCGAACATACTATCTTGGCAACAAAGGTTTTCATTAGTTTTATTCAGAAGTAGGCAGAAACTACTTCCAAATCTTAAAGTATTTGTTGCAAACATTCCTTCCTCTGAAATTCCGTATTTTCACTTTAGTCGAGTATTTTTATCAGGAGTATTGATTGTTGCCAACTGCACCGCAGACACCTGATCTTGTATTTATCACTCTGTACAATCTGAATAAGTTATGTGATTGATTTATTGATAAAAGAATCAATTGCAATTTTTGAGTATAATCAGAAGTAGTGTAATGTGAATGAATATTTGTAATGTCGAGTATTTTTTTAAGTTAACTCCTTACAAATCAGACCGTACGAACACGAATTACATGCGTGTGCGCTTCCACAGGCGGCCATTGTCTAGGTCAAGGTGAACGGTTCGAAAAAAGCCTTTATTCCGTTTGCATATGGTATCTTGGTTTAAATTAACAATCTGTATGTTTGGTTAGCCTATTATCGTGTATTACTATGGTTTTCCCTATCACCGATGATGTGAATGTTCTAAGAAGCTTGAAAAAGTTTCGGGTTTTGACCAGCATCACTGGCTATCAATTTATTAAGAAAATGATGACATTACGATTACTGATTTTGCGCTGCACGTAATCAGTTTCTTTATACATAATGAGATAATCTTAATCATATAGTTGGTTTTCTTAACTGATTCAATAACTTATTTTGCATCCTATTATCCTATATGAGGAAAGATTTGATTGTCTGATGAACATATTCGATAGAATATTTTCAAAAATCTAGGGATCCGTTTGAAAAAGTTAGGTATTTTCTGCACCATTGACATCACATGTCACAAATTACATACTACATGGTACGAAGTTCGCTTGCCAGCTATTATCTTAAAAATACGGTCTTTTTTATATTAATTTATTAATATTGTCCCCAGGTCCACAATTGGACGGTGGAGCAGACAGTCGAATGGCTGTCCCAGTCGGTGGATCTTCCTCAATACAAGACGCTGTTTCTCCAGCACAAAGTCACCGGCGCCACTCTGCCCAGGTGCAGTTTTATTGAGCTTGCAATGAAAATTAAACTTCATCATCATCATTAAGTTTAGTTTCCGCTATAGGTGGTAGACCCTCTAAAATTTACCAGAGGCAAATTGTTTTGGCATACACTCTACACGCTAGCCAGGCGGGTTGGGGAGACCTGATGTACGCGTATTTCTCCCTTAAGCCTGATTCAGACAGCGATAATCGCGCAGTTGCTGGACTTTTCTTCTTCTTTTTTGATGATGTTGGCAATACACGTCGAGGTCGACTTGATTTGTGCCATTTTCAAGTATTTATGTGATACGAGTTACAAAATGAGATCAAGTAATGATATAATGAAGGATGATAGATGATACCCCTTCCCACCCTTTGAGTCTCACTAAAGTTGTGGTGCTTTACTGAGACCTCCTATGGACAACTTGAGAGAACCAGAAGAATCACGATGCACTGCCTTGCTTCACTCGCCCACACTCATGCACGTTCACGAACACCTAATGGTCAATAATCCACCATTATTACACATTAATAGTCGCCCAAACACGAATTTGAGGAAATAAAACAAAACCGCTAACATGACGCTTCAGATTCCCGCCAAGAAGTCCGTTGCCGGACTCAATGCCTCGCCAATTAGAACCGTCCAGCAACCGCGTGGTTATCGGTTAAAACACGCACGATAACCGCGCAGTTTTTGGGCGAGGCACTGAGGCGGTTACCATCAAACTTGGTTTGATGCAAAGCAAGACTGTCCGAAAAAGCTTACGACATCATGTGTTAAAAGTGGTGCGAATAAATTATTTGGTAAATTGAAAGAGTCGTGTTCCTGCAGTGGAGACTAAATTACCAATAAACCTAGGATGCGCGCCACGATATAACTTTATAGAGGCATTTTATCAATTTTGCACCATACGATTCTAAAATCGTATAAGATTCTATTATGGTGCGCATCCTAGCCCGGATGATAATGATAAAATATTTTTACCCAATGATTTTGATGCTTATTGATTTTGACAAGAAAAACCAAATATATTAAATGTCATTTCTCCACACAGGTTAGCGGTGAACAACATGCAGTATGTCAGCAACGTGCTAGGCATCAAGGACCCCATTCACAAGCAGAAGCTGGCTCTGAAGGCCATGGATGTAGTGCTATTCGGCCCCCCCAAAGGTACGTCTTAGTACGTGAAACGTTTCACCGATAAGAACTCGTTTAGATCGCGCAGCAAGAATAGAGACGATGAACAATTTGTTCTGTAGCTTTACCATGAGTGTACATTAAACGTCATCGGTCGCTATAGTTCCAAAATACTGAACTATCCTATCCATGACATTGACAGTGGGGCGCCACCGTCAATACCGGATCGCTGGTTCCGATTTTTGCCATGTTGGAAACCATATATTTGAACGATGGTAGCGCCCCCCTGTCATTGAGTTTGGTGGGACAGTTCAGCGTGGGTCATCTATACCGACTGCATTTTAAAATCTGAAGATTTTAGCCTTTGAAAGTTACCGCTAGGGGCGCTGTACGAAATGTAAATACATTTCATGTCATTTTTTTACGCAATCGCTACCGAGCACACGAGCGCTAGTGTTTTGCCCTACACAAACAACAACTCAACATATTTTGTAGGCAATTTTCTTGAATGTTTTTTTCCCCTTTTTATATCTGCAATCGACTTGGGTCATAATCAGATGTTTTGTCTTGCTTTTTTGTTTGTGTTCATGAGGAGGGGTATTCCAGTAAATTCTCTCCCTCGGTTTTTACTAATTCACGTAGCAATCTAGTCCAGCCTTCCAATATTCAGTCCAAGCCACTAGCATCTTTGAATCTTTCTTTTTTTCTTGAATGTTGACATGTTTTTGTTGAGTGTAGGGCAAAACACGCTGGAGACCTGGCTTAAGGTAAACTGATGGTAAAAAGCACACTGTATACGTATGTCGCGCTGACGTCTTGCGTATTCTTACTGATTTATATTCAAATATTACATTAGTGTGAGTATGTGTTCGTCTCAACTTTCGTTGCGCGACCTATTCGCTGGGTGCGAAGTACTAGGTGGGGGAAACATAATCGATCGCAGCGCTCATGGTGGTCAAAAGTAGAAATAATGTAAGCTCTGTCATCAGATGTATCTGTCAATGGCAAAGCGATTCTACCACAGATATGGATTAGAGTAGATACAGCAAGTTGATCGTCAAAGCGTGCCATTCCGATATGTCCAAATGGACATACATGGTCGAGTGATGTTCATGTAATCCGATTACAACAATCGGTTACGATGATTTTACGAGGACAGTAGTACGAACACGGTAGAAAGAAGAAATTATTTACGGATTGAGAATTGTAATTAACATTACAAGTAACAAATAATTAATTAGAATAAAGTAGCAGTGGAAGAAGTATAAAGTAGCATTGTTTTTAATACATATCCTGCGATGTACTCTTAAGAGTTAAAACCATGGTCCCTGTATGTGGTGCACTCATACCGATCTCAAGGAACTGTACTTACTCATAACAATAAGACACACACTGATCCATGTATTCATGCACTTGACAATTATGTCTTAAAACGCTGGTAGGGTAAAAAAAATAACGAGATTTGACGATTTGTAAGAATTAATTTATTTTAAAAAGGTAAATAAAGATGTTTTTGGTTTTGTATTTAACAAATTATCAGTTCTATCCGAATTAATTAATTTTCGGATCGAGTCACACGATATCATTCGATGACTTTGCAAAGGCAGTACGATGATACGATTACTTTTACGTTGCGGCAATCACTAAAATTCGCTAAAATGACACTAATGACGTTTAAAAAGTGGCACGCTCGGCTTCATACAATTTTTGACACATGCTGCATCTATCCATATCTGTGGATTCTACATTACATTTTAATATCATTAATTAATCACATGAAAAGGGTCCTACTGGGAACTTAAATAAAAGAGTGGACTGTATTTCAATAGGACTGGTTTAATAGCCGTTTACAATTTGGAAATAACTAAACTATACAACGTGGTTGTACAAAAATGAGTCACAGTAGTTGTTGTGCACAGATGTTTGCCTTATGATGAGAGCGTGAATTATTGAACTCTGCCCTTGTTTTGTTCTTAATTCTTCTACATCTCGGACTTGTCCAGCCAATACCAACAACTTTCCTTTAAATACGGTTTGTGGTTGGATTTTGATATTGTAACACTCACAAACCCGGTCTTCAAAACAATACTAATTTCGATCTGAAAACGATATTTAATTTATTACTAGCGATACAGGAACATTTAATTATATTTACTGTTATATAATGAAACCGTTAAAGTAGCTTTTTCTTTTTGTTTTACTGTAAAACTACAACTATAAATGAAGTAAACAAACCCTAACACAATCAAAATTCAACACAATTTTTGGACTTACCTCATTTGATTTGAAAGACCAAAATGATTTCAAAACCTTTTTTCCACCCAAATCGTAGTATTCACAACAATTTATTAGTCGAAAATATTTGTTATTTTTTCATTTCGATATTTTTCACAAATATACGACCTAAATGTCAATGTGACAGAGCCCTCAAAGTTGTGGACGCTAGTTGGCGCTGTAATCGTGCACGGAGCCAATACCAACCAACCAAACTTGGCCTTCACTGGTTGCGTTTTTTATTGGCTGTCAATCTGTAAAATTACAATCGTTTTGCTAGGATTTTTCCAATGTTTCATGACATCATTTGAATTCTTAATTCCGTTTATCATCGTTACGAAGTTCAGAGCGGAAATGTATTATCGAAATTAAAATTGCTGCAATTATAAGATAACTCTACATAAAGCCATGTAGAGGCTGTCTTTATTCAACTATCACGCGATTTACATCAAGAATTGTTAGGACGAGAGAAAAATAAAATATTTTTTAAATAGTAACCTGATTTAGACTCGACAACCTGAAAATATTGTTTAAATTAAACTAAGTGCTCTTAAGTATTGAAATATAACAACCGTACATACAAACTAGCGCCACCTTACGTCACTTACTACGAACTTCGTATGTGAATACAATATTCACAATGATCCCCCATCATTGTACTAGCACATTAAATCTAATAATGATTTATTTACGATCCGTTGTACTAGTATTTCCAAAAGACTTTTAAAAACTATTTTTTTAGTGACGTCTACGTGCTATTGTCATACTTTGATTGAGGCGTGTGAACTATGACATCACGCTTCTGTAGCATCATATTGGCATACATAATTTATCCATTAGAAGTGGTGGTATTAGTAAAAGTTTGGCCAAACCAACGCGATCACACGCGATCAGCCGGCGTGCAGCGATGGCGACCAGACTTAAATGCATTGATCGCCATCGCTGCACGCCGGCTGATCGCGTGTGATCGCGTTGGTTTGGCCGAACCTTAAATGATGTGTCTGTTTATTTTTGCAATTACATTTTTCTCCCAACAGCCATCTGCATCCCCGATAATACCCATATAAATATTATCGCTTCTCAAATCCAATGTAGCCGTTGCATTATACCTTTTTCCTGTACCAACAGCAGCCCGAACTAATTGCTCATTGTGACACGATGTCGATCGTGTAATAACGAAGCCGTTTAGGTAATTTCACACACAATAATAAAAAGTCGTACAGTGTGACCTTGACTGTGAGGAACTTTACTGTGAACAGAGATGATTTATTTTATTATTTCGTTGTACACTTGGACACAACCCAGTGGCGGATTTACAGTTTTGCCGCCCGTAGGCTACGGTGGGGTTGAATCTTTATTTAACTTTTATCTTCTGAAATCGAGTAAGCGTCACCTGAAATTTGCCGCCCCTAGGACGCTGCTGCCCCTAGGCCGTGGCCTATACGGCCTATTGATAGATCCAGGACTGACACAACCAATACATAATTAGAAATAGTAAACTACATATTATAATTGCACACGTACATTTTGGTACAGTTGATTAATCTGTAATTTCAGTAATCATATTTATTTAAGAAAACGTTATTTTTATGTTAATTAATTTAAATTGATACATAATTTTGTCTATATCAACCTTACATGCATTTTGTTAGTCAGGTCATCCAGCAAGCTTAAAAGGTCGTAGGATTCAGTCCCTCCCTCCTGAAGCAATTTAAATTCAGTACCTAAAAAATTTGTTGGAAATTGACTCAATAATTATAAATTACTCAAGTCGGTACGCTAGAGTAATAACAACCCAACCGTATGTATGATAACATCTAGTCTAGATATATCTATAAATCATAATAAGACCTGCACATTGTACTGTTTTTACAACAATATTTGAGTCATTATAACACTCATTACGAAAGATAGACATCTAGAGAAAAATGTTTGGTTTAAGGCTCTAATACACTTATCCGCACGCGAATAAAAAAAAATTACAATGTTATATTGACATGGTCTTGTTAAAAAATCTCATCATCACCACATCATTTCAGCCATAGAACGTCCACTACTGAACATAGGCCATCCCCCAATGATTTCCACAAAAGCCGGTTTGGTATGATGTAATGGTCCAGTATAAGCCTACACTGAAAGCCTTTCTACTTTATAAATCACTAGCGCCCGCCCGCGACTTCGTACGCGTGGACCTCATTTTTAACCCCTTCGTATAACCTGTTGTTTGATATCATGTTATTAGATGGCGTTTCACGGCTTCCCCCGCATAAATATTTACGAACGTCAAAAACAGTAGTTTGTCCAGCGCTGTAGATTTTAACCAATGACGATAGATGGCGCTTTTTAGACACGTCTTATTTATTTATTAAAATGTATTTGTCATATATCGTCATAAATTATAGCCTATATGTTAATCTGGGTTATAAACAATAATACTGTAAAGTTTCAACAAAATCCGTTCAGTAGTTTTTGCGTTAAAGAGTAACAAACATCCAGACATTCGCATTTATAATATTAGTAGGATAGGATAGTAGGATTCTGATCCATCGACTCTACTTAGTCTTTTGTTTTGGACTTTGCCTCTTTTTGACCTAGTTCACTTGGCTAGGGCTAGAATACCTTATTTATTTGTAAACGATACTGTACGAATGAATTCTAAAAAGGTTCTCTAGAAATTAATTTCTTAAGTCTTACTTACTAAGTAAAATAACAAGATAAATACATTCGTACAGAACGAATAGGTTTGTAAGAGCCTTTAC